CTGGGAATTCTGCTCATGGCCTACTTCCAAGTATATGAAAAGTTTGCTTGGATGGCTCTTTTGGTCCAAGTTTTTTGGATGCTAAGAAATCCTGAATGTGATGTCCTGCCTCAGGCCAAAGGTGCAGTATCTCAGGTTACTGGTTGGCTAGGCTGGTCCATAGGTACTAAAACCAACCACTAGACCAGTCCATAGGTACTGAAACCAACCACTAGACCAGTCCATAGGTACTGAAACCAATCACCAGGCCACAGTATAGTACTCAAACCACAGATTTTCCTATACTTTTTATCTGAACCACAATGTACTGCAACCTGCAACTGCAACCTGGACCAATGAAAATGGGCCCTTGGTGCTGTTCAAATGCCAGAAAGCCTTATGAACAAAAAGGACCACCAGTGGCCACTATAAACACCAGGCTAATTTAGTAGTGCCAATGTCAGAGAATGAATGACACTATTCCTCTTGCCCAAATGAGCATAGCAGGAGCTATGATCCTAGGATGGTACAGACACTTTAGTTAATTCTAGTGATTCATAAACAACAACAAACTACAAAGTAGAAAGTGCTTTTCTATCCCACAATAACTGCTCAAATTGAGGTTCAAATGCTGCTTGAGAGAAGCAGGAACATAACAGCCACCTAAGTGATCAGATGTCAACATGGCCACAGACAACTGGCCTCTCTGCTTACAGATACCTCTGTGGTTCCGGACCCTAGTAATGACCCTTTCTGCTGCCCGGGGATGCTTGTAGTGAGTGATGTTGGCTCCTATCTCTTGAGTTCTACTAGTGGTTCACCCCATGAGATCATAGGTAGTCAGCACACTTCCTCTAGCTCATGCTGATATACTCCAGTCTTGAGTTATTAATATCTTGTTTTTGGAATCACCAGAAATCAAAGATGACCTGTCAGCCAACCCTTCCCTGTAAATTGAAGCCAGGACTAGGCATGGACATTTCTTGAGTACTCTGTGTTCTGGAAGCAGCAGGTCTCCAGCCTCAAGGACCAACGTTGGTCAAGGCCACCAGATGTTATTGATGATCTTGCTATAACAAGTGGTATCTTTTGTCTCACACCAAAGGACTGGGTTAAACACACACACACACACACACACACACACACACACACACACACGGCACTGCAGGACTCTGTATATTTTATCCATTTTCTTAATAAAATAAACAATTTTCAAAAAGTGGGACCCAGAGTTGAACACTAAACAACAGCAGATAAATCCTGTTTCCTAAAGCTTTTCAGCTCCTCTCAGTAAAAGAAGGCTGTCAATCAACATTGAACTGATTTCTAGGATAACAATCCTGGCCCATAACTAGTATTCTGAATTTCAACACAGCAGAACTGGTTGTCATAGACTGAGAGGGTCAGGGGTTAGCCATTGGATCCAGAAGGTTGCAACACTAAAAGCAGAAACCTGTAGCTCAACACCCTTCTCCCCACCCAGCAACAGCAGCAGGCAGATGGCAGAAGAATTAACCTTGCTTCAGACCACCACTGCTGAGAGAGGCTTTAAGTAGATTAAGTCCTGATCCTCTGCCCCTAAAAGCCCCTGACCCATTTCTCTGTCTAGAAATGAAAGCGCTGTGGTAAGTCAGACAAGCAGAAGGACAGAGACTGATCAACACAGACAATATCAACAAGTGCTGTTTTTCTGCAGGAGACAGCAGTGGGAACATTCAAGAGTGACACAAAGAATTGTTAAGCGCATTAAAGGAAGCTATGCGGCTTAAGTGTCAACCACATGTTCTCTTCTTTTATGAAAATAGGATGTCACTCCGCCCCTCATACCCAACTCAAGCCTGGGTGTCAGCAGGAGCTCGCAGTCTAGCTAACCAGATACACTAAGTTGTCCTACAGGTGTTTCCAGAAATTCACCAGAGCTACCTGGATGTACTTAAGCACAAAAGCAGTGGGTAAAATCAGCGAGGTCACAGAAAGGAACAAACTGTCCTTCCTGGATCGAAAGGGAATCAGGAGTCTTGCAAAGAGGAGGTCTTGGCTTCCAGAGGATGAGGCCCCAATGCCCGCGAGAACTTTACGTTTTGGCTCCTGTGGCTAGGGCTTCTGGAGTACTGCCGAAACTCCGCCTCACAGAGCGACTTCACCATGAGGTTCCACAGGGTGGCCCCTCTGCCGGCTCGGGAGGGTCTTTCTAGCACACCCCACAGACAGCCTGGGTACTGAAGCCAATCCCTCTCGACAGGGGGTTCTCTCTCGGCAGCGGGCGCCCTGAGTGGGAGGGGACAGCCTCAGCAACAGGTGAGGACCCACGCCCCCGAGAAGCCTCCGCGCCGGGGTCCAGAACAGTCCCAGAGTCCCCGATGTCTCTCCGGCCGCCCGCGGCACTTACACGCTCAGTGGTCCACCGCTGGGCAGAAACGAAACTTTCTAAGGCCGAGCGGAAGAGTGGGCAAGCGCAGTGCCGGCGGCCATGAAGGGCACAGTACGCCGAGACTGCGCGCGGACTACGACTACCGGCATGCTCCGCAAGTGGCCTACAACTCCCATCGGGTGCAACATCAACTACGGCTCCCGGCATGCTCCACGAAATGACGTTCCTTTCGGGAAACCTGAACAGGCTTTGCCTACTCGGAGAAGAACCTGAAGTCGTCTGTTTGCACTCCTGATCTAGTGTTATTGGCTACTGTTGTTAAGCACTTGCAATGTGGCTGATTGGCTTTAAACTGTAAATATAATGTACCTGATTAAAAAAATCCCCAAAACAATATAAAAATCTTATTAGTACTTTTGTGCTATTTTTATTTATTGAACCCACTATGTATTGCCTATCCTAAATTCTCCATTTTTATTCCCCTCGTTAACAGAGACATAAAAACAGTTTTTGAAATTATGTGTAATAAACTACCTACCATGCTTAGCTTCCTAAGACCCCTGTTTGCTTGTTGCTGTATTGCAAAGCACCCTGAAGCCTGATGCAATAGAACTGCATTCCAAGACCAGTATTAATGAACATGCTAAAGAAGAGGAACATAAGAACATCATCCCTAACTAGGTTCCATTCCTTAGCTATAGCTGGCTTCTCCTCACTCTGCTTTTTCAACATTTTAGCTAGAAATGCCTGTCTGCTTTATAGGACTTAGCTAACTAGTGGGATCTGCCAGACCTCAGCACTCCAGGTTTTCAGGATAAATTCATACAAAAAGAAAAATAGATTTCTTAGTTAATGACATGTTTTACATTAGAGGTATATGAAACAACATATTAACTTGATAGAGTTGGCAGTTTGTGGATGTAGATAAAAAGGAGCCTTCTGAACAGAAATGATTCTCTTTTCTGTTAATAATGAAACAAAAAAGGGAGAAGTAGAAGAGGATGACACCAGAAATGAAGAATTATCAACATAGTGAGCTAAGAAAACTTATTCTAACCACAGTCTGAACAGCTTTGGGTTGTTAAGGATGGGTTGTTGTTGTTTCATACACCCTTGTATGAAATTAGACCCCAAGTAAATTTACAGAGAAGTAGAAGATAGGCCTCCAACAATCGTGAGTTATTTAAGGGCAATGGCGTATTTTAAGAGTTTCATAGGCAATCTGGAATATAGTTGGACAAATTAAGATGGCTCTGACATCACTGGATGATTTAGTCTTAAGGGACCACAGTCATACGTGGTACAACATTGACCAAAATGTTGTGCATCCGATGATTGTATATATCAAGAACCTAATATGTCATACTCCAACCAAAAACCTTAATAACATTATGTTTAAAACTCAGCACAAATCTGTGCTTGTAGGTAGGATTCATTTCTATACTTCAAAGATGAGAAGATTGAGGCTTGGAGAGGTAAAGGAATTCCAAGCTTACCTGGTCAGAACTGTAAACTAGGATGGAGTGGAAATTTCCTAAGACATCTCTACCTAACACAATGTCAGATACATGAAAATGCTCAGCTTTGTCTACAAAGGAAAGGAGGGCAGAAGAGGGCAATGGATTCCCTTGGAGGTGGAGTTAAGAATGGTTGTGAGCCACTATATGGGTTTTGGGAACTGAACCTGGGCCCTCTGGAAGAGTAGTCAGTGCTCTTAACTGCTGAGCCATCTCTATTTCCCCTTGAAAGTTACTACTTCCTGGTAAACCATAGCTATTTTTTGGCTTAATTTTTATTTTTCATTAATTCTTTAAAATATGTTACATGATTGTATTTATTTATTTTTGGTTGAAAGGACAATATCTGAGTTCTGTCTCTGACAGTCTAAGCTGCTCTGACAGTAATACTAGTCCCTGAAATTCTGGGCATTCTGGTGGAGTCATCTTATACTACCAGGGAAATCTGGGTCCTCTCTTGGGGTTCTTAAGAATTTAAGAAGTGACTCAGAAGGAAGCTTAAGGACAATTTTATTAAAGCTTCAAAGAAAAACTCCAGGCAGAGAAGCTGTAAACCAAAGAAAAATCCCAAGCAGGAAGCTTCCTAGAGGAGAAAGATGGAACAGAGAAGGAGGAGGAGGAGGAAAAGGAAAATACTGAAATAATGACCATTATAGAGATGAAGTCATGGGTGTGTGATCATGAGAATAAGTTAGCTGCTGGAAAAGCAGAATCCACAGGATCTGACTCTGGGAGCTTAGAGAAAGGGAATGGAGTACTTGAGGAGAAATCAACTTTGGAAAATGGTTAAAAGGGGAAAGCTGGTATTATCATGCAGATGGCAAGAAGTTGTCTTTCTCTCAATCTGGAAGAGATGAAATGATAGAGGAATCTTCAACCTGCATGCCCTTGTAAAGTGGACTTTGCTTATCTGGACCTTCATGGATGGATGGTGTCACCTGAAAGTTAGCAACAATATCTTATTCATCTTTGTATTGTCCAAATAATTACTTAATGCAGACAGTAACACATATTGCATTCATTTCTTCAATTATGGGCTAAATATTTAAAAGCTAGTTTATGTGTTAGCAGCTGTTTCCAGAATACAGAACTATCTTCAGTTTAGTGGGATTTTACGGTCTAGACTTTATCATGACTGTTCTTATTTGAGGATATGATTATTCTTGTCCCAAAGTTTTCTTCAGTAGCTGCTAAGAAGCACAGAATCAGCCACAACCAAAAAGAAAAAAAAATCATTTAGGACAACCCTATGTGCCAGTAACCTCATTGCACAATTTGCACATACTTTGAACTCCAAGCCCTCCCAAAGTCTGGAAATTCTTCCATTTAGGATCTTCTAACCAATCACTGATATGCAATCTATGTCTAAGTAAGGGAATGAATGATGAACCACGTCCAGGAAGTGTTGCTTTTCATTGCCCAGCTAGAAGCCACTTTCTCACAGGTGTCATGTCTTTCCTCCATGCCCCTGGCATCTCCACTGTTGTGTTTTCTGCAGTTCTTGTTCCTGAGCCACTTTTCCTTGCCTTCCTCCAACTTCCATAGTCACCTCCATGTGTCCATTCTCTCCTCTCAGTAGAAAGACGGGCCCTCATATGTAAAGATACCAGGGGAATAAGGGGATGGGACAAGGCTGGGTGTCTTCTGCTGGCACAACCATACCTGCTGGAGAAGACTTTTTAGGTGGCTTCGGAACTTGACCCCAACAAAGACATAAAGCACTGGGTTGAAGCAGCAGTGGGAGAAGGCCAAGCTGCGACAGATGGGAATAGCAATGACCAGCTGCTGGCTGATCTCACAGTTCTCCTGGATGACTTTAGTTTTCAGGAGTGTCTGCAGAAAGAGGATGAGGTTGTAGGGAGCCCAGCTGAGGAAGTATGCTACTACAATGGTGAAGATGAGCCTGACTGTCCGGTGCCTCTGTCTGGACCTTGAGCGAAACAAGGTTCTGAGAATCTGTATATAACAGAACAGGATGATACCCATGGAAAGGAGGAAGATGATGTTGTGCTGGTAGACTGAGGCCACGAACCCATTAAGTTCAGAATACTGACATGATTTGGAAATATCTTTGCGGGAGATAGCTTCAGGGATGGAGGACAGGATGCTGGCTGCCCACACAGAGGTGATCACCAGCATACGGCAGCGGATGGTATGGATACCCAGAGTAGAGATGGGGCTCACTACAGACAGGTAGCGGTGGATGGTCATGATGGTGAGGATGAATATGCTGCTGTAGAGGCTGATGTTGAAGATCAGGTTGAGGAGCTTGCAGAGGAAGTCACCTAGCCACAAACCCCAAAGTTGTTCTGAGATCCACACAGGCAGCAGGCAGGAAAACATCAGGTCTGAGAGACACAGGTTAAGGATGAAGATATTGGTGAGTGACTCTAGATTCTCATACTTCACCAAGACCCACAAAACCAGGCTGTTGCCCACCAGGCTGAGGAGAAATACCAGAGAGTACAGGAGAACTATGGAGAATTCGGCAAAGTGAATGGCATTCTCACACAGAGAACTCCTATCATCATCATAATCATAAAAGGTGGTATTCTCAAAGGCTGTAGAGGATTCCATCTGGACCCAGGTGGCATGGATACTGAGAGGACCTGAAATGATAAACATGTTGGGTTTAAAACCATATAGTTAGAATAGAGATCATTATGATTCATTTTACAAAAAAAAAAAAAAAAAATAAGGTCCGTGGGCTAGATTCCATTGGTGAGCCATTTATATAACAAGACTGAGAATTTGTCCACTACATAAAGTTATTAAGCAACTTTTTTCTTTCCTGAAGAAAGATTTTCTTGACCAAGGACACATAGCATTGATTTACATTTTGTCACAGGCCCAATTTTCCTGGTAGACTGGCAGCTGAGAAGGCTTAAGAGAGCGCAGGTTCAGAGCAGATGTAGGAGAAGAGAAGTAGAACTGGAGTGAAATACTTGAGATAAAAGTGGGCTCCTGTTCCCAGATTCATTCATTTGGTTATTCAGTAAGTGGCTAGGGAGCATTTATTCAGTGTCATTCACACAATTATTCAGTAAATGAATAAAGACTGTCCTATCTATCTTCTATGTCTTTCTTCCTCCCCTCTCTTTCTTCTTATTTCACTTTCCTTATTCTCTCTTATTTTCTCTTTATAAACTGCATAGATCTTGACAGCAGACTTCGATTAAAATTTTTTTCTCTTTCTTAGGATAGCCTGAAAAAGACTAAAGCAAAAATAATTCCAAGGCTACAGATGAAAATTCTGGAAGGCCAAATTCTTGCTAACACATAGGATTAACTCTCATGGCAGAAAACTTTTTCAGTTGAGAATGTAGTTTACAGGTCTTATAGAGACAAGCAAGTGTCTGGAGCAGCGATGGAGGAATGCAACTAAGAAAACTGTAGTGAGCAAAACATATTCAACTTCCTTGAGTAACTGAGTGTTTCTGTAGTGAGATGAGAAGGATGAGGAAAAGACTGGAAGGGCTGTAATTTTCATTGCTATAGGTCATTGAAGCTGCTGGGCTGTATGAGGAGGAGAATGAAAACTTGAAGCAGCAGCTATCTGGGCCGGAAAGGTGAGTTCTCATTACAGGCTGTGTGTGCAGGGGGAGGGGCACTGTGCCTATATAACATAACAGCTCCCTGTGCTTCTGCAACTGTTTGTAAAATATACCTACCTCTATTTCATAGGGTAGGAGAATGCTCAGCCTGGTGAAAACACTTTCTCAGGATTATAAAACCAGGAATCCGGAGCAGCTAAGATTGCAGTTCAAACACCTCATTCTTGTATTTTGAGGAAGATAAATAGAGAAATAGCCTGAGCTTTTCAAATATTAAAATTGAAATAAGCTGGGCATGGTAGTACATGCCTATAGTTTGGTTACCCTGGGACTAAAGTGGGAAGATCATAAGTTTGAGGTCAGCCAGAGATATCTATTTTTTTTTTAATTTAAAAAGTGTATTGTGTCATAATAAAACAGCATGATTGTGGCTAAAAGACAGGTAGATCAATGGAATAGATAAAGAACACACACAGCTATAGCTACCATTCAGATTCTTGACAAAAATGTCAAAACAGACATTGGAAAAAGGTCAGCCCTTTCAACAAATTTTGCTGGGAAAAAATGGTTCTCTACATGTAGAAAATTAACTGGATTTCAAAAAACAGTTTAAAGTGGAGTAAGACCTGAACTTTGAGAATGATAGAGGAAAACAGAGAAAACAGTTCAGATTTGGCATAGGAGCCCTTTCAGAAAAGGACTCCAGTAGCTCAGAAAATAATATAAGAAATAGACAAATGGGATTGCACGGAATTAAAAAGCTTCTTCATAGCAAAAGAAACAATCAGATGAAGAGATGGCCTAGAATGAGAGAAAAAAAATCTTTTGCTAGTTATATATTTGACAGAAAATTAGTAGTAGAATATATAAGGAACTTTTAAGAACTAAATACTAAAAATCCGAACAACTCAATCAATAAATAGGCTAATGAAATGAAAAGACAGTTCTCAAAAGATGAAGTACAAATGGCTCAAATCACAAAGAATATTTAACATCTTTAGGGACTGGAGAAAAGCAAATTAAAACCACATTAATATTTCATTCCCCAAGTCAGAGTGCCTATCATTATAAAAACAACAAATGGTGGTGAGGTGTGGGGAAAAGGAACCTTTATTCACTGCTGGTGGGATGCAAAGCGGTATAGCACTATGGAAATCATTATAAATGTTCCTTAAAAAACTAAAAATAGAACTACCACATGACCCGCCCCTGGGTATCTGCCTAAAGGTCTCTAAGTCCATACAACACGGAGATACCTGCACCTCTGTTTCTTCTAACACTATTCAGTATCAGCCAAAGATCATCTGTCAACTGATAAACTGATCAAGAAAATGAGACTTGTGTAATGTGGTGGTTTGAATGAAAATGACCTTGTAGGCTCAGATATTTGAATGCTCAGCCACCACTTAGTGGAAGAGTTTGGGAAATATTAAGAGGTGTGTCACTAGGAGTAGGATTTGAGTCTTCAAAAGCACAAGTCGGGCCCAGTCTCTCTCTTTCTCTGCCCTCCACCCCCGACTGCTACCTGTGAATCAGAATGTAAAACTCTCAGCTATTACTCTAACATCATGCCTGTCTACTTCCACCATCATGATCATGGACTAACTCTAAAACTGTTAAAACAGGTTCCCAATTAAATGCTTTCTTTTATAAGAGTTGCTTCCATCATAGTTTCTTCATAGCAACCAAACAATAACCAAGGCATAACACAAGGAAGTTTTATTCCTCCATAAAGAAAAATGGCATTAAGTCATTTTCTGGAAAATGGATGCAACTGAAGATATAAAATAAGCTATACAAATATTGTGGCGTTTTTTTGTGTTTGTTGTTTTCTGTTTTGAAGAACCAGATAGGCAGATTTAGGGCAACTAAAACTACTGGAAAGTGAGAGGTATAAATAACAGAAGGAATAAAGATAGAAAGTCCCATGTTTTGCCCATATATCCAACTCAAAAGGTTGTCTTTGAACCACAAACATGCTAGTAATATCTGAAAGAACTGAATTGATATTTGAAGTGCTGTTCCCTACAGGTGAGACAGAGCTTAGCATTCGGATATTTTTTTAAATATTTGAGGAAGAAGTAATATCAATCTTACATAAATATCTGAAATAGAAGATAGATCCCTCTTCAGCTTGCTTTATGAAGCAAGTATATCCACAATACCAAAATAAAAAAATGTACAATAAACCAAAACTACAGACTAATATTCTTCATGAACATACAAACAAAAGTTCTCCAGGCTGGCCTCAAACTCATTATATAGTCAAGGCTCTTGAACTTCTGATCTTTTTGGCTCTACTTTGAGACTACTAAGAGTCAAGGTCTGTGCCATCACAGCAGGTTTATGTAGTATTGGAGACTAAATCTAGAACTTTGTCCACACGAGGTAAATGTTCTTCTAGCTGTGCTACATATTTACCTCAACAAAAATATTCTTCCTAAAATATAAGTTGGGTCAAGTTCAATAATGCATTTAAAATATTTATTACATTTATTTATTTATTTGTGTTTATGAGTGTATGCATCATATATTTGCCATGATATGCATTTGGAGGTCAGAGGACAACTTGTGGAACCTGGTGTAACATCCATTATCAATATAAGCTCTCAACAAATTAGAAACAAAAATGATATTGAACAAATAATATCACAAAACCCCAAAACCACTCCATTTTTTTTTTTTTTGAAAAATTTGGAGGCTATCCTGTTCTGTATTAGGAAAACTTGGGATTCCAAGGTAAAGGATGGAACATTCCAAACTTCCCTGAATAGCATCTATGAACAGAAGTTCTTTGTGTATTGGAGCCTGAAGACTCTTTGTCCTTAGCTTATTAGGGTTTTGTGGTTGTGGAGAGATATAGTCTTGTTATAGCCATTTTCTATCAGCTTATGTATTTGAGGTAATATAGCAACCCCTACCTGCACTATTGCTAAGAAGGCCACACGATCTCAGTCAGACCTATACAGGAAATCCCTATGTCCTGCTGTAGCTTGCCTACCTGAGGACACAGCCATATATTTAGTCAAGACCTTAACTTATGACTTTCTCTTGTTCTGTTACTGTAAAAGTTCATGTTAAAGCTTGATGTGTTGGTGAATTCTTGTAACCCCATCATTCCAGAGGCAGAGGCAGGAGAATTAAGAGCTTAAGGCCACCTACAGTAATACAGTGAATTTGAGGTCAGCCTGGTCTACTTGTCCCCAGTACACTAGGTCTTTCAAGATAACTTGACTCCATGTTTGGGTCATGGTCACTTATATTTGGCACAAAGAAAATTGCTATATTCTTTAAATGAAGTTGTTATTTATGTTAACATGTTTAAGGAGTTTGGTGTCCATTTTTTTTTTCCTGTTATTCCCTCCTCCTCACCATCCCCATAACTTATCTCAACTCTATGGGAGTGAATTTAATTTTCAGACCATGAGATAATTTAGATTGTGAAACATAGTTCTAAGTTATCCAGCCATCAAAAATAATAAGAACTTATACAGCAGCTTAGAGTCAAACAAATCCCTCCATTTCTTTCAGCAAGGAAAACATTTATATCTGTTCTATTCAAGGAAAGGTGCACAGATTGCCTTCTCTAAAAGTACAGATTCTTAGAAAAGCCCAGATGAAAGGAATCTGTGTCTCAGAGGCAAGCCTTGGAACTCTTAAGGTTTGTTAACATACTAAGTATTTTTGGTGACCACCAAGGTTTCATTTAGAAACCCTGCTGTAGGCTGTTAAAAGGAGAAGAAAATATAAGTTTAAAATGTATGCAAGAGAACTCACCTGAGTCTGAACCTCTTTCCATGTCACTTTTAAAAGTCTGTATGCTTTGTGCTTCCTTTGTTTTCCTCTTCCAGTGTAGAGTGTCACAAAGAGCCTCACCTTATGATTGATACAGGTGCCATTAAATTGTCTAGCTTGGCTTCAAACTTCCTCTTTATTAAAGGATGAAGTTTTGAAATTATTTTTTAATGTTTCCTTATGCTTAGTTTCAGTATGAACAGCAAAGAGGCTCTTTAAACTATAAAGCTCAGAAACACTGTTTAGACATGCACTGGGGATCTTTTGGCCTAATTGTCCAGCCAACCAACTCCAACAAGATACATGGCTCTATTTGTGCTGCAATCCCATGCATATGAGACCAGATGTGGATATACTGTCATATCAAAGGCACTCCTACTTTCTAGATGTGGTGGTTCCTTCCCAATAATCTCAAAATTTAGTGGATAGAGGTAAGAGTATTAGAACTTAAGGTAAGCTTGTCTATAGAGTAAGTTGAGTGTCATCCTGGGTTACAATGAGACTCTGTCTAAACATCCAAATAACCTCAGAATAAAAGGTACTGCTGCTGCACTGTGAGCTCTGGGAGTGGCATCTGGGTCTCTGGCTTCCAGAATGAGTCTGTATGATACACAGGAACTTATCAAAATGTGTCAGCTCAAGCACTACACAAGGACAGTGGGCAGAACCTGAAGTGTTCATTCCAGCTGGTTGTTCACTCTTTGTAAAAAAAATAAATGAATGCCCAGACTCTCGACTGTGTTGTGATTCAAACCTCCAAATTTCAATTCGTACTCACCAAATTTGCTGTTTGATTTAACAAAGTCTTAGCTCTCCATTTCCAGGATTATGGCTAGTTAGATAAAGGGCTTTCATATAGCATATTATGACTTCTGTATTGCATAGTATGCCATGAAAACATACCATTTCCCACTTTTTTTGGCAAAAGAGGAAAAGGTCTACAGTATCTTTTCACTTCTCTCTGGACATTCTCACTGTTTCTCTCTACAGATTACCCTACCCTACACTGCAGCTGGCCAACTTCTGTTGTTGAGGCTGCCTGCTTTCCTGATCTGTAACTCAAATAGCATGGGTTTTTGTCTCCCTGAAATCTAAGAAAATCTACAGGTTGTTGCACTGTTTTTTGTTTTTTTTTTTTTTCTCTTCTCTCAAACCGTATAATTGTTCTCAAGTTCTTTTATCTATGAGGCTAAGAACCAGCAAAAGAAGACCTGCATTCTCTACCAATACTGCCTCTATCTCCTACATGCTGGTATTATAGATAATGCCACTGTCTTAGTTATGGTTATCATTGCTATGATGATAAAAAGCAAAGGCGAGTTGGGGAGGAAAGAGTTTATTTGGATTACATATCCACATGATAATCTATCATTGAAGGAAGTCAGGCCAGGAAGTTAAACAGGGCAGGAACCTGGAGACAGGAGCTGATACAGAGGCCATTGAGGGGTGCTGCTACTGGCTTGCTTCCTCTGACTTGCTCAGCCTGCTTTTTTCTAGAAACTAGGACTCCAGCCCAGGGATGGTACCACCCACAATTAATAATCAAGACCTGCCTACAGCCAGATTTTATAGAGGCATTTTATCCTCTGAGGTTCTTTCCTCTCAGATTACTATATCTTGGATCAAGTTGACATAAAACTAGAGAACAAAGCCACCCCCTGGGTTTGTGGAAAAGTTTGTATACAAGTTACAGCCAACATGTTTTTGAGTTCTCATCATATGTCAGGCACAGCTTAACTATTCTAGACTAAGCTTTCTATGAGATCCTGCTTATAAAATTGTCTTACTCATTTCTCTCTTCTCTCTCTCTCTCTCTCTCTCTCTCTCTCTCTCTCTCTGTGTGTGTGTGTGTGTGCATGTCTTTATTGCATAGGACCATGGGTGGCACATATCTTCAAAAACTCAACACAAATGTGTAGAGTTAAGACCCTACAGCAAGACATAGGCTTCCTCGCTCTACTGCAGTGTGGGAAATCCAACATGGTAGTATCTTAAAAAGCTCTTTGTGGCTTTTTTAGGTGTGCGTGTGAGTGTCATGGCATATGCATAAAAATTAAAGGACAATGTGTAGAAGTCTATTCTCTTCTTCTGCCATGTGGGACCCAAGGCTTAATCTTCAGGCTAGGTGGTAAATACCTGGGCCCTCTTGTTGACCCATGCTTGGAAATTCTTTATTATTCCCTTAGTTGAGACACAATGTTTAATTCCATTCTCCTGGAATATAGGCTGTTTACAGTGCTTTGCTTTACTAATAGAACATGGTAAGAAGGACATTCAGAGACTTGTAGGTTATAAGAAGTCTTACAGTTTCTATCCAGATCCCCTGGAACATTATCTCTTGTTGCTCTAACTCACTCATGAATTCATCTACTTGATGCCACTGTGCTGGTAAGGACACTGTTGACACAGAGCACAGCTCTCGCTTCAAATGGAACGAAAAATATTTTATTCTGGAGACAAATTTGAGTGATTAACGGACTGGGAACACAGATATCAGGTTACCCCAAATACCAGTGAGATAACAGTGTCATGAAATTTTTATAATAAGAGAATAAAGAACATTATAAATCAAGACCCCTTTCAAACGAATTGGTGGAAACAACAAAGTAGAGAAGTCTCTGCTATATGCCTCAGATGCTGTCTGATAGCATTCTTAGTCTTTGGGGTGCTGGAAGCTAGGGATCTGTCAGTACATTTCAAAAAGATTTATATAATAGTCATAAGATAGGCTCTTAGCCTACCACAGAGGGCCTCTGAAAGACTACCTAGCACCGTATCAAAGCAGTTGCTGAGACTCATAACCAAACCTTCGGTAGAATACAGGGAATCAGATGATAAAAGGGGGAGTTAATATGACTGAGAGAGGACAGGAGCTCCACAAGGACAAAATATATCAGGACACGGGGGTCCTCTATGAGAATGTCTCTCCAACCAAGGACCATATATGGATATAACCTAGAACCCCTGCTCTGATGTAGCCCATGGTAGCTCAGTAGCCAAGTGGGTTTCTCAAGTAAGGGGAACAGGAACTATTTCTGACATGAACTCAAGGATTGGCTCCTTTACCTCTCCTTGCCCCCAAGGGAGGAACAGCCTTGCTAGGCCACAGAAGAGGACATTACAGCCAGTCTTGAAGAGACCTGATAAGCTAGGGTCAGATAGAAGGGGAGGAAGACCTCCCCTAGCTGTGGACTTGGAAAAGGACAGGGAGGAGATGAGGGAGGGAGGGTGGGATTGGGAGGGAATGAGAGAGGGGGCTATGGCTGGGATACAAAGTAAATAATCTGTGATTAATATTAAAAAAATAAAAAAGTATTAAAAAAAGCTCTTAGGCCAAACACAAAGTAAGGCAATGAATAAATGAATAACGATAAGTCAAGATAATTTAGACCTAGACTTTTAATTTTCCTCTCCAATCACAAATGTTCTAATCAATCAATGATGAGATGAAGTGAAGTATAGGGCATTTCTGCAATACCAAGAGCTAGGCCAATTGAGATAGAGAACAAAAGAGCTATAGCCACACTTGTGGTGTTGTCATCATTTGTCACTGCATGAGGCTATGACAGATTTACAGGCCTAAATCCAGACCTAAGAGCAAAGGATTTTGGTGTGGGAGAAGGAAGCCAAACAAAACTGAGATAATGTCCCATCTCTAGAGTTAATTCTCAAGGGTTAAGCACAGACTCCTGGACTCTGTGCTTATGTAATTTTTGTAATTCTGTTTGTCTGAACTAATAATAATGACATCACCAGTCTCACTGAGTTGAGAGGATTAAATGAACTAGTATGTCAATGAGTTGGAAAAGTACTTACTGAATACACAGCCCGACTAGCCCCAGATGCCTGGATGAACATGGTAGATGCAATGCAGGAAGCTGTGTGTGGAGAGTAGGACAAAGACTGAGGTCAAAAATAGCATGCCAAAAAAAAAAAAAAAAAGAAAGAAAAAAAAAAAGCCAGAAGGTAGAAATACTAGATCCCCCTAATAAGGCTGACACATAACAGCATATCCAGAAAAAGACTGTAAACAACCCAAAAGCTGATGTTATTACATTGGGATGTAAATATGCCAATCCTTTGGACAGCAATTGCCACTGGACAACTGACCTTTTCCCCAGCTCTGACACATTTTATTCCTCAGAAATTCTCTTTCTTAATAAATGTCTCTTCTTCTGCCAGTATCCATGTGTCTTTGGTTTAATTATTTGTTCCAACACTGGAAATAATAGTAGATGCCACTGGACTCTGGTATCTACCTATAGCAAAGCTGTACACTTGTAGTATGTTTGTTGGATGGAGGCCAAGAGTTTATCATTGGATGGCATGCCATAAAATTCATCTTAACATCTGAGCCTGGTATTACTCTATGTCATGGTAGTTCAAAAAGGATAAAGCATGGGTACCATACTTATGGTGCTCACAGGCTCACAGGCTCACAGGCTCACATGTGTGAAAGTAGAAAGTTCAGAGCCAGTGTGCTAAGTGCTATAAGAGGCCTTGGGGAAGCAGGGTAGCCTTCTTGGGTGGAGGTTATATTAAAGGACAATCAGAAGATGAGTAAAAGTTATCCAGGAAGAAGGGGCTGAATGCTAGGTGTGGAAGTAACTCTTGTATAAAGGTTTTCTCTGGGCCACAAAATGGTACTGAGTGGGTGAGGTGTGGGCTGTAAGAGGCATGGGCACAGAGTTGTGGCTGGAAAGAGAGGAACTGCTGACTTACAAGAGTTGGGCTGTTTCAGTCCTGGCTAGCTCTACTAATCACTATACTAGTTTAGAACAGCACTCCTTCATAGATTAGTCAATCATGAACGGCTTTGATGCCCAGAACTATGAACTGTCACAGAGGCCCACATTCCTGATTGAAAAATATATGATCTCTCTTGATAAAGTGTTTTCCAGTTTGTGTACTGCCACATAGACACTCAGAGAAAACACTGGAAGTGATGGTATGGACCATCTTGAAAGGCAGGTAGTAGGAACAGGGTAGAAAGAGGAGGAAAAGTGTGACATTAAGGAGATCAAC